AGTAATCTTAAAAAATTCATCTTACTTTTTTTTCCTACTGTTTATAAGTATGATTAAATATGAAATGCTGTATTCATTAGTTGTACTATAATTCTACAAATATTTTTATATTTTAAGTTTTCAGAGTAATTGTTTCCTACAGAACATTTTGTGATGTCATTTTGTTTGATTGGAAAATGTTAGAAAAAGCTGTAAGATAACAGTATTCTCCCGTTAGACCTTTAGGTTCTGTATTTATTTTAGTGTTTGATCAATCTAATAAACATTTATTTTTTTTTAAACTGTTTTTCTCATCAGAACTTTATTTGAGGTATTTTAATGTAACATTTTAAGACAATGGATTTTGAAAAGAGAGGAAAGTTTCCTCTAAAATCTTTAAGGACAATTTCTGTATACCAATTGCTTTTGCACTTTATTTCCGTTAAAGTATTTTTACTTTAATGTTATGGCTTTTGTTTGGCAGCCATCTTGACCGTTTTTTTACGGGTTTTTTGCCCGTAGAAGTTTTAGTGCTTTACTTTTATTAATGGTTATTAACTGTAAAAAGAGAGGATACATCTGTAAAATTACAGTGTTTTCCTGTAAAATCTTTACGGACAATTCCCGTAAATTAATGGCTTATTCACTTTATTTCAGTTAAAGTATTTGACTTTAATTTAAGGGTTTTTGTTTGGCAGCCGCTGCTGCCAGTACTTTGACCGTTTTTTTACGTGTTTTTTGTTTACAGTGTGATTCATCAGGACTTAGGAAAAGAGACTGCTGTGCTTTGAGAATCCGACCGCACTGACACTATCCAACGTCATTATGATGCACCAGCCGATGTTATTAAGAAGGAGAAGAAGCTTTATTTCATCCCAAAGGGGAAATTCAGCTCAGTTGCTCACTCGGTTGTGGTAACACACAGTACAATACACACACATGCACAGGACAGGTGAGAGAGGTCTGAGCAAAACAGGTGGCCTGTCTGTCCAGCGCAACACAAATTCCTACAGACTGCGGCACTAAAACACTCTGCTGCTATATTAACGAGTTTCTCCTGGTGGGACATTGGAGATATGTAATACAAGTGGGTGATGCTAAAAGCCAGTGTTGGGGAGGGGATGGATCAGAGGAGTGACCAGAAAGTGTAGAAGTTTTGAGGTTTTTACAACCCCACTCGGCTCCGCGTGTCGTTTTGGCGAGTCCTGCTTAAAATCATAACAGGAAGGAAATCAGAGAACACCCGGATACCAGTTTAAACAATAATCTGTTTTAATTATAAAAGGTAATAATGCAATGCAATATAATACATTACAATACAATATAATACAATACAATTATATTGTAATGTAAGGAGTAGGCCCACTCCTGCCCTGGTTCGCGTGCTGCGTAGATCCTTCGGTCCTGGCAGCCCGAGAAGAGAGAGCGAACGCCAGGACTCAACAGGAGATATACAAGAATAAGAAGGAGGGGTTAGGTCAGCTGGTCATCTTTTCAGGTCATCTCATTGGGAGACGCAAAATATGCTGTGTCACAGTGAATCAGCGCTGGCCAGCAGAAAACAAAACAGGCTCACTTTGCAACAAAACACATCTTATTATGTATCTTATCACATAAGTCATGTGTTTCTTTATGAAAGCCATACTTGTTGGAAATGTAACAGTCATCACTTCATGACCTCCTCAGGACCAGCTCACCAACAACTGTCTTCATACCCCCAGGCCATCTCTGAACTTCCATCCACCCGAAGTCAGCTCAACCAGAATCAGAAGGACCATTGTCTCTCTAATTGTGTGTGACTCAATTCTCCTGCTCTTTTAGGAGTCCTGAAATGAACGCACATACATTTCTCTCACACCAACACTTAACATCCCATAGCCTATATCAGGTGACATAAAAATGAATATACCAGAATTACGCTGTATCAAACTTTTTGCCATAATACTTTACATCAATCTCCACAAAAGTCATCAGTGGGCTCTGAAATGGCAGTGAGTCCTTGAGTGCTACATTTTCCCAGGAAACAGCCAATTCTGTTTGGAACGAGGTTTGTCCTGCCGAACTGTCAGATATCTCAGGAGGGGGAGTCATGGATGAACCCCGGCTGTTTGCCACAGTGTAGGTTAGCTGCTGACTCAGTCTCAGTATGTTGAATGGGACTGATGCACACTGAGTTCAGGAGGCAGAGCTGAGGGCTTGGAGAACAGCTGTTGTTGCTCAGATGGTCAGAAGGGGCCACAGGGACACACTGTGGAGGTTTGTCCTGACATGAGACTGGACAGTTGTGATTTACATTCCTGTTCAATGTTGCATGGAGGCAGACAGTGTCATTTCCCATGTTTTAAAGGGGACTGTAGTGTTGTGGCGATCCAGCACTCACACAACAGGAAATAATGAAACAGAGAGGAATCAATAAAACACAAACACAGATATAGCTGATCATTAATTATTATGTAGTTGTTGCAACAAACAAACAATAATGGGAAGTATATCACCTGCTGCCACAGCAGCCAGTCGCGGAAATGCCCCCCGACAGTAGCAACAATCATACAGCATATAGCCACTGCAATGAACACACACACATTTTCCCTAAGCATGTTTAACACACACACATTTTACCATGCAGCCTACCACACAAATGTCACATGTTTATCTCTCTGAAAGCTATACTTGTATATGTTTAAACTAATTCTGTCAAAATTATCGCGTTAACAGCGGTAATTCATTTTTTGAATTCATTGCGTTAAAATATTTAACGCATTTAAGGCTTGCGCAGAATAGCCCGCCCCATACATCCTACCAGTGGCTACAGCCATACCAAGACATGGCTTAGCCCCACCATGAACAATGATGTTAAAGTAAGCAAAATAAAGTCCGCCAACTCGCGCGCAGTAAATTGCACAGACAGTTAGTCAGATTGATTTCAGCAGCCACTTGTTTGGAAATACCGAAGACTAGAAACGGTTTGAAAACTTTTGTCACGTAGTGATCGTCTTCTCAATAGAACATCTTTGATAATGTCTTCTGGCCAATCAGAATCAAGATAACGGTGTGGTGTTGTTGCAGGAAGTCCCGACAGAGAATACTTTTGCTGTAGTTAGGGTTGGGTACCGAGAACCGGTTCCGGTTCAGAACCGGTTCCAACATTTAGATTCCAACGGCATCATTTAGAAATGTAAATTTCGGTTCCGCTTTTCGATGCCTGAGGAAATGTTTCACGCCGCTCTCCGTAGCCTACTGTATGACTGGGAAGGGGCGGGAAATGTAGCGTTGTACCTACACTTCCTACAGCATAACCTGAGACCAGGGCCGGCCCGTCGCACTGGCGTTATAGATGTTCGCCTAGGGCGCCAGATCTGTGGAGGCGCTGCGCTGACAGCTCTGGGAGGGAAACAAAACGTTTTGACCGTTGGCGCTCATCCTAATTTTCGGCCTTGATGCAACAACATTCATAATTAAGTAAATGTAACACCCTTTTCCCCCCGGTTACACTTTTCATTTCCCCTGTACGATGGGCGCTGTAAGTGATGAAAATGGGGGATGTTGGCTTATCAGGCACCCGCAGCTCACAGCCAAAGAGCGAGTGAGCGTGGGAGGGAGAGAGGGAGGGCGCTGTTGTTATTAGCATCTGGTGCTAGCTGCTCTAACGGAAGAAGAAGATGTTTCTACAATGATGTGGAGGGAGAGTCCTCTCCAGTCAGACTGAGAGGCTGATAACTACAGCTCAGTGAGGTAAAGGACTCTGAGTGTTTAGATAGTTCACTTTAGTCTAATAAATGTACTTTTTTTGGTGGAAGAAGCACGTATCATTTTTTTACCCTGCCCCTCAAAGAATCGGAATTAAGAACCGTTAAGAACCGGAATCGAAAAGTAGAATCGGAATCAGAATCGTGGAAATTCAAACGATACCCAACCCTAGCTGTAGTACATCTCTATATACATCAATACAACATTACGTGTTGATAGAAATCAACACGTAATGAAATGAGACCCCACGGTTTGATGATTGATAGGTGTGTGGGCTGTCTTTCATTTTGACACACAGAACAATGTTATAATAAACATACTGTATGTTAAATGGATATATCCGCCTTCTTTCATTTATCTTTCCATTCCCACAACAATAGGCCTATACATAAAGAAATGGCATATTTTGGACATAGTTCGAATGGTGATTAATCATGATTAATTCATTTTAAAGCTGTGATTAATCTGATTAACATTTTTAATCGTTTGGCAGCCCTAGTATTAACTTTATCGTCTCATGATATCCTGAGGATTAGTTGACTAACAAAGGTGAACTGTTTTTATAACCTGAGGCCTTCTCTGAACTTCCTCTACCCTCGGTGTCAGCTCACTTCAAATGAATACATCTATTGATAACTCAGAAGGACCATTGTCTCTAACTGTGTGACCCAACTCAGTAACACACATCATATAGCTTAGCATGTGACCTTAATGAATATCAGAAATACGCTGTATTAAACATTATGCTATAACAGTAGGGTAAGCTCTAAACATCAGAGGAGCAGATTGCTCAGCCTCACTGGGATTGCTCACTGCAGATTCTGTCATTACTAATGGCCCAGCCCCCTACAGGTGGAAGGAGGTATCATTTGCCGTCCTACATGACTTGGTGAGGAAGGGACGGGTTATTACTTTGACCCCCCAGGGTGTCTTGTAGATGGTAGGCTACTGCAGGAGTATACTGTGACACAGTAAGAACCATCCACTTCCTGTAAACCAGAGAGAGAGCTGTGTCCACACACTCAGTGGGTGTTGGGATCTGCTGGTAGCAGCAGGAATAAGAGTCAGTCAGGTTTAGGGCCATGGTTCTCTGTGGGAAAACTGATGGTTCTCTGTGGGGTGGAACTTATACTGGACAATGTACAGATAATTATGCAACAAGATCCAGTGACTTGATATAAGGAAAATAACCTGCTATTTTGTCAGAAATGGGTCCAATTAGAAGGAAAAATGTTGATGTATCTTTCATGTAAATGTATTTCTTATTCATTCAGATATTCTCACGAAGTGCCAAGGTGAACTCAAATCAAACCTGAAGGAAACATTTGAAAATATCAGATTTATGGACAAATCTGAAACCCTACATAAAATCTACACGGAGATCTACATCACCAGGGGAGACACCACAGAGGTCAATGCTGAACATGAGGTCAGACAGATTGAAACAGCATCCAGGAAACCAGACAGACCAGAAACACCCATCAGACAAGAAGACCTCTTTAAAGCCTCACCTGGAAGAGATGCACCAATCAGAGCAGTGCTGACAAAGGGAGTGGCTGGCATTGGGAAAACAGTCTTAACACAGAAGTTCACTCTGGACTGGGCTGAAGGCAAAGCCAACCAGGACATCCAGTTCATATTTCCATTCACCTTCAGAGAGCTGAATGTGGTGAGAGAGAACAAGTACAGCTTGGTGGAACTTGTTCATCACTTCTTCTCTGAAACCAGAGACGCAGGAATCTGCAGGTTTGATCAGTTCTCGGTCGTGTTCATCTTTGACGGTCTGGATGAGTGTCGACTTCCTCTGGACTTCCTCAACACTGAGATCCTGACTGATGTCACAAAGTCCACCTCAGTGGATGTACTGCTGACAAACCTCATCAGAGGGAAGCTGCTTCCCTCTGCTCGCCTCTGGATAACCACACGGCCTGCAGCAGCCAATCAGATCCCTCCTGAGTGTGTGGACATGGTGACAGAGGTCCGAGGGTTCACCGACCCACAGAAGGAGGAGTACTTCAGGAAGAGATTCAGAGATCAGGAGCAGGCCGGCACCATCATCTCCCACATCAAGACCTCACGAAGCCTCCACATCATGTGCCACATCCCAGTCTTCTGCTGGATCTCTGCTTCAGTTCTGGAGGACATGTTGAAAACTGAGGGAGGAGAGCTGCCCAAGACCCTGACTGAGATGTACATCCACTTCCTGGTGGTTCAGTCCAAAGTGAAGAACATCAAGTATCAGGGAGGAGGTGAGACGGATCCACACAGGAGTCCAGAGAGCAGGAAGATGATGGAGTCTCTGGGGAAACTGGCTTTTGAGCAGCTGCAGAAAGGCAACCTGATCTTCTATGAGTCCGACCTGACAGAGTGTGGCATCGATATCAGAGCAGCCTCAGTGTACTCAGGAGTGTTCACACAGGTCTTTAGAGAGGAGAGAGGAACGTACAAGAACACAGTGTTCTGCTTCGTCCATCTGAGCGTTCAGGAGTTTCTGGCTGCTCTTCATGTCCATCTGACCTTCATCACCTCTGGAGTCAACCTGCTGTCAGAAGAACCAACAACCTCCAAGAAGCCTAAACTATTCAGATCCAAACCCAAACCCAAAGCCAAACCTACACTAACACATCTCTACCAGAGTGCTGTGGACCAGGCCTTACAGAGTCCAAACGGACACCTGGACTTGTTCCTCCGCTTCCTCCTGGGTCTTTCACTGGAGACCAATCAGAAACTCCTACGAGGCCTGCTGACACAGACAGGGAGTGGCTCAGAGACCAATCAGGAAACAGTCCAGTACATCAAGAAGAAGATGGAAGAGGATCTGTCTCCAGAGAGAAGCATCAACCTGTTCCACTGTCTGAATGAACTGAATGATCGTTCTCTGGTGGAGGAGATCCAACAGTCCCTGAGTTCAGGAAGTCTCTCCACAGATAATCTGTCTCCTGCTCAGTGGTCAGCTCTGGTCTTCATCTTACTGTCATCAGAAGAAGATCTGGACGTGTTTGACCTGAAGAGATACTCTGCTTCAGAGGAGGCTCTTCTGAGGCTGCTGCCAGTGGTCACAGCCTCCAACAAAGCTCTGTAAGTACAGAGATCATTGATTTAGTGAATCAGTTATTAATACACTGCTGTCTCCTGAATAACTGTTGTCCTCATCGTCTCCTCAGGCTGAGTGGCTGTCAGCTGTCAGGGAGAAGCTGTGATGCTCTGTCCTCAGTCCTCAGCTCCCAGTCCTCTAGTCTGACAGAGCTGGACCTGAGTAACAACAACCTGCAGGATTCACGAGTGAAGCTGCTGTCTGCTGGACTGGAGAGTCCACACTGTGAACTGAAGACTCTCAGGTCAGAGCAGAGTACCATTTGACTTAGACAGTAATACAAGTCAATACCAACATCAGCATATAAGGGTGGTGTGGAAATACCATCATCGATAACATAATTAATACATGTGCCACAATTCACAAAATGACTATTGGCACGGACTTCTTTAAAGCCTCTAAAAAGACCTTCATTTAAAAAAAAAAAGTGGGCAGCCCCTTGATCCTGAGCTTTAGGTCGTAACTGAAAGAATGAGATCACAGATTTAAGAAGTCTAAATTAACTTCAGATTAAAGCTTCTTCTGTAGGGTGACTGGATCAGCCTCAAAGATTGGGTGAGGAGAATGACAATAAAGTTGAATCTGAAACGGTGCTGGTTAAACAGCATTTCATTATTTCAACACTCTGGATGATGTCTGAAATACTACATTTATCTCCACAATGAGCAGCCCTGATAGGCCACCCTGAGCGTCTGAGACGATCTGCCTGGTGGTGTTGGAGGTCTGATGTCCAAACTGTATAGAGTGTGACGGCTGCAGATCTTCTTGTAGTCTTCTCTCTGTGTCTTTGTTCACATTATTCTCTATTCCTTTGTTTTGTGATCTGTTCATATCAATAAGACCCTTACCATGGCTGTCCATTTGAACTGTGAAGCAGTGACTGGAGTTTTAGGTGTAGAGATGACCCAGAGGTGATGCAGTAATAAGCCCCCCCCCTTCCAGTCCCGGACCCTCAGATGATCTGACGGCTTGTTTGTGTGTCTGCAGGCTGTCAGGCTGTCTGATCACAGAGGAAGGCTGTGATGCTCTGGCCTCAGCTTTAAACCCCTCCCATCTGAGAGAGCTGGACCTGAGCTACAATCATCCAGGAGCCTCAGGGGGGAGGCTGCTGTCTGCTGGACTGGACACGCTCAGGTATGGAGAGGCACTCAGTCTGATGGAGGAGGTGGAAACTGGCTCCTATGACCTGAAACAACCAGAGCTGATAGACTCTTCACACTGTCTGCCGTCAGCTGTAAGCATCAAACACAAATGTTCCACAACTGAGAGGAAACCCCCCCTCAGTGAAAAGTAAAAAACAGATTCAGGAATCAGAGATCGAGACATAAACCGAAATATGAAGAACACAGTGAACCAAAGACAAAACAACAGTTGAGGCTGCTGTTTCGTTTTTCTGATTTCAAGTCACTGACGGCAGCCTGACATCCTCAACACTGACTGGCTTTACGCCTCAAATGTTCATCCATCCGCGTATTTGCATTGACTTTACAAGTAACGGCAACGCGCTCGGTGTGAACGTACCTTTACTGAACCATGAGACATGTCATGTTTCTATGCTGACCCCCCCCCCCCCCCCTCTTTCAGTCTGGAGCCTGCTGCAGTCTGGTGGCTGAGGCCAGGTCTCAGGAAGTGTAAGTGTGTCATGAACATCTTCACACTGGGACATCACAGGTACTTTAACAACCTTTAATACCTGCTGTGTCTCTCATCAGATGCCTGTGAACTCACACTGGACTCAAACACAGTGAATAGAAAACTCCAACTGTCTGACAACAACAGGAAGGTGACATGTGTGAGAGAGGAGCAGAATTATCCTGATCATCCAGAGAGGTTCGACTCCTGGCCTCAGCTGATGTGCAGAGAAGCTCTGACTGGTCGCTGTTACTGTGAGGCCAAGTGGAGAGGAGAGGTTCATACATCAGTGACTTACAGAGGAATCAACAGGAGAGGAAACGGAGAGGACTGTTGGTTTGGAAGGAATGATCAGTCCTGGAGTCTGAGATGCTCTGGTGATGGTTACTCTGTCTGGCACAATAAGACATTATCACACATCTCCTCCTCCTCCTCTTCCTCCTCCTCTTCCTCCTCCTTTTCCTCCCTCTCCTCCCCCTCCCCCTCCTCTGGTAGAGTAGCAGTGTATCTGGATCATCCTGCTGGCTCTCTCTCCTTCTACAGAGTCTCCTCTGGCTCACTGATCCACCTCCACACCTTCAGAACCACATTCACTGAGCCTCTCTATGCTGGGTTTGGGTTATCTCGTTTCTTTGGTTCCTCAGTGTTCTCTGCAGGAGTGAGGCTGGCATCCTGGTTAAATAACTCCCAGTAGCCTACCTACTACCACCTCATTTGAGTGCGTTGTTTTCAAACTGGCTGTTTCTGCTAGGCTCCAGGTTGCCCTCATCTCTCGCCGACCTAAAGCTTCCACTACCATCTTGTCTGAGTTGCTCACCTCTCTCTGTTCCATCTCTCCATCAACTCTCCTGCTCGATGATTTCAACATTCACATGGACTCCAGTAACTGCAAATTTGCTGCTGAATTCCTTTCACTTCTGGACTGTTTCAGCATCAAGCAACATGTCCAGGGCCCCACCCACACCAAAGGTCACACGCTGGACCTGGTGTGCTCTACCGGCCCACCGCCCCCGACCTACAGCGCCTGGACCTGGCTGTATCTGACCATCATGCCATCCTCTTCACTTTTCCGGTCTCCCTGCCCAGGCATTATCCTCAACGCACCATCATGTTTAGGAACATCAAGACTGTGAGTGCACCGGCCCTATCCAACCTGATAGCTACCCACATGGCCTCCGCTCCCTCCGACTCCACCGTGGACGGCCTGGTAGCCCACTACAACACTGCCCTATCCCTCAGTCTCAACTCTCTCGCCCCATCAAAACCCGGACAGTTTCCTTCACTCGCCCTGCCCCCTGGTTCACCACCGAACTCCGCAGCATGAAGTCATGTGGTTGCCAGCTGGAGAGGCTCTCTAAAAAAACGGGCCTTTCGTGACCATGTGAAAGCCTATAAGGAAGCTCTCTCCCACGCCAAGACACATTACTACTCTCATCTCATCGGTGCCCAGCAAAGCAACCCCAGAACACTGTTCTCCACCATCAACCGTCTGCTCCGCCCCCCAGCCCTCTGGTGCTTCCGATCTCTGCTCCAAATTCCTTGACTTCTTCCAGGCGAAAGTTGAGTCCATTCATCAGCAGCTCCTGGCACATGGCCCTCCCCCCACCTGCACCTCAACCACCTGGCAATGCACCCCCAGCGCCGCGCCTCTCCCTTTGCAACCTCTCCTCCTTCTCCCCTGTGGCCGAGCTGGTCAGCGCTATTCAAGGACTCTGCCCCCACATGGTGGTCATCATCAATGCTTTTCTGGCTCCTGGTATAGTCCCCAAAAAACCTGGCCTGGACCCTGACGACCTCCACAACCACCAGCCGATCTCCAACCTTCCCTTCCTCAGTAAGACTCTGGAAAGAGTAGTCGCCGACCAACTCCATCTGCACATGTCCAACCATGAGCTCTATGAGCCCCTCCAATCCAACTTCAGAGTTCAACACAGCACTGAGACCATCCTCATTAAGATCATCAACGATCTCCTCATTGCTGCTGACTCTGGCCGCCTCAGCATCCTCATCCACCTGGACCTTTCTGCAGCGTTTGGCACCATCTCCCACACCATCCTCCTCACCCGCCTATCTGACCTATTAAGTGTCACTGGCACAGCGCTGTCTTGGTTCACATCCTACCTCCAGAACAGTGAACAGTTTGTAATCATTAATGGCTCAAATTCCCCCCCGGCCCCAGTCCACCACGGTGTACCCCAGGGCTCTGTGCTTGGCCCCCTCCTGTTCACCATTTACATGCTCCCCCTCGGCCAGATCATCCGCCATCATGGACTCAACTTCCACTGCTATGCTGATGATACCCAACTGTATCTCAGTGTTGAACCCCTCATTTGGGGGAAATATTAGACAAGGAAACAGAGACGTTTTTAGCTTGCTTCAAGGTCCAATGTATTATGCCAACCAACAACATGGTACACAGAGCACTCTGTATAATACAAAACATCGATTCTTGACATAAAACAACTACTAACAATGCACATACTGCAAACATATATCCAATTTAACACACAAAATGTCCTTCTTGGAGCTAAACTGCACCATCATAGCTAGCGGCGCTAGAATAGCTAACGGCGCTAGCAAAGCTAGCATACACAGCTACAATAATTACAGAACCCAGAAAAACCCTCCAAAAATACCCTCTAACAACTATCACGCCAACAATGTGCTTTTCACATTAATATTACACACAGACAGTCTACATATATAACATTTATCACGGATGAACTCACCTAATTTGGGGGAAATATTAGACAAGGAAACAGACGTTTTTAGCTTGCTTCAAGGTCCAATGTATTATGCACCCGTTGCAAGCCACAAGCGCCCTCTGCTGGACAGACCCGGAAGGCCAACCATGACTTGTCATATCTATTACACACTCCCCTTCAAAACAGATGTCGTCCCGACATTATAATCCACAATATTAGGCCTACATGTCAGCAACATCTATAAACATTTATTAAGCACATACCGCGCTCACTGCTCAGTTTGGCAAAAGTGTACACACTCAATTTAAACATTTAAGCCCTTGACTTAGTAGAAAGTCCATCATTGTGTGTGGTGTATATGGTTGTGTCTACCAAGCTTTCCTTCCTCAGTCGATAGGTGTCTGAAGTGTATATGTGTGTCTGTGATCACTCTGCACGCTTCTTCAAAAGTCCATGAGTATGTCTGGTGTGTGTTGTTCAGTACCCAGGAACAACAGGCTGGTAGTTAAACTGCTGTACCGAAGTCATCCATGTACTTATGGCTGGCACTGTAGCATAGGGCAGTGGCGGGTACCAGTATACGATGCTAGCACTGCAACAAACTGGATTGCCTAGCTGATCGTATGTGAAGAATGTCGTAGGTCGTCTGTCTCTCACAGGTCGCTGAAATCCAATGTCAGTGTCATTGCTATCTTCATTTTGAACAGGTGAAAGTGGTGCAGGTGTTCTCTCTCCCAACGCAATCTCCTCTTGAGCCCCTTGGCCTGACATGTCCTCCTCATTCAAAACATCACCTCCGCCCTGAGCATCTTGTAGCTGGGGTATGCCTTGTTGCTGATGCTCTACATCCTGGGAGGTTTCTGTAATTTCCACTTCGGGATCCTCTCTGTGGGTATTTACTAGGGATGCACGATAATTATCGGCCCGATAATTATCGGTCCGATATTAGGAATTATGACGTCATCCCGATAAACCCGATACCAGTATTAATAGCCCCGATAATATACAATATACAAAAAATACTGCGGTGTGGGTGGATTGGGATGAGGGGCGCTTGTTTTTCACTCGGCTCCTCCCGGTTTGCCAGTACTGTGGTATTAGTGGTTTAGGAAGAGGGGAGTTCTTCACAAATCCAGGGCTCCCTAACTCATACCTGGCTGTGACGTAAATGGTGTGCGGCCGTGAAGCCAGGACAGTAAACAAACATGTCGTCGGTGGTATGGGCGTTGGAGCTATGTGCAACTCAAGGCATATGCTCGAACCGGAGCTGCCTGGACGCTGCAATCATGTTGCGCACTATCCGTGCTGAGTGTGCTGACTTCTTGTGCAATGTCCCACTGTCTGGCTTCCTGCATAAAGTCAAGTGCTCGGCGCAGTTGTGGCGAAATGTTTTTGCTCTATGAAACCTGATGTACTTATATGATTCTGTTTTCTTCAAGTTGTATTTTGTTGGTCGAACGCACTTATTGTAAGTCGCTTTGGATAAAAGCGTCAGCTAAATGCAATGTAAAAAATGTTCGCTCCTCTGTTTTCATTTAAACAGCTCCTTATATCCGTTAGCGCAGCTAGCTAGCACCAGATGCTAACAACAACAATGCACGTAAGGTCTCTCGCTCGCTCGGGCCACACATACACACACCCTCCCGGTCCTCCCGATGGCCAGTCGGTGCCTGCCGGTGAGCGTGGAAGTGTGGCTTGCCACAAGCGGGCGGCAGGAGCGGGGCTGTCAGCATCAGCTTGTAGATGGTATTTTAAACTTGATGCGCTCTGAAACTACGGGGCGGCCGAGGACAAAAAATACACATGCGTTAATCGTGTTAAAATAATTAGTGGCGTTCATTTTTTGGTTATCGGTATCGGTCTTGAGAAGCAGGAAGTTATCGGTATCGGTTTCAAAAAACCAATATCGTGCATCCCTAGTATTTACCTGAGGCTGCATTACAGGCAGAGGCTGGACCCTAGGCATGTGATAATATTCACAGTCATCATCGCTGTCACTTCCATCGTCGTCCTGATGTGGTTGTTCTCTGTCCCTACATGTTCTAGTTGTAATTTCTCTTTTTGACTTTGCAGGTTGTAGCTGTATCTCTAAGGGCAGATGGTCACATGGCAACAAGAGATTACGGTGTAGTATCCGGCTTCCTCTACCCTTCCCTTGCTCCGGCAGAACTTCATAGATGGGCATGTCTTTCCCAACCTGACGGATGACTTTGTGGATACAATCTTCCCAGTGGCTCCGCAGTTTACCTGTTCCCCCTCTGGGTGTCAGATTCCTGACGAGGACACGATCACCCTCGTGCAGAACTCCTTACTTTGCTGTCGTAGTTTCTCTTGCTCCTCTCAGCACATTTTTTTGCATTTTCTGCTGTGATCTCATATGCCTCTTTCATCTGTTGTTTCCATTTCCTCATATACTCTTGATGGTCTGCATTTCTTGTCTCAGGGGTCAAGCCAAACAATAAGTCAACAGGCCGTCTTGGTGACCTCCCAAACAGGAGATAGAATGGGGAGAAGCCTGTAACATCACAGCGAGTGCTGTTGTATGCATAAATGAGCTTAGGCAGTGACTCTTTCCAATTTGACTTCTGCCTTTCAGGAAGCGTCTTTAGCATTTGCAGCAGCGTTCTGTTGAACCTTTCAACTTGACCATTGCCTTCCGGGTGGTAGGGCGTGGTTCTTGAGCCCATCACTCCACAGTTTTTCTTCAGCTGTGCAAATAATTGATTTTCAAATTCACCTCCCTGATCGTGGTGGATTCTCCGAGGAAATCTGAACTTCAGTGCATAATCATTGAACACCTTATCTGCCACTGTCTTGGCGGATTTTGACATTGTGGCGTAGGCTTGTGCAAAGCGTGTGTAATGATCGACTATTACCAATATGTATTCATATCCACCCTAACATTTATCTAAATGCAGAAAGTCAATTGATACCAATTCGAATGGCTGTGTGGTGACAATGGAGGTGAGAGGAGCTCTTGTTTCTCTGTAGGGCTTCTTCTGTTTGAGGCAAGCACAGCTCTGAGACACGTAGTGCTCTATTTCCTGCTGCATATGTGGCCAGAAGAAACGGTCTCGAACAAGTGATGTTGTGCGTTCCCCACCTTGATGCCCCATTTCATCGTGGAGTTGTCTCAGAACAGTTTTGTTGTACTTTTCTGG